CGATAGAGGGAGATGTTTACACATGACACCCCACACAGCATGTCACCTTCTGATTATCAAGCGACAGAGGTAGATGTTTAAACATGACACCCCACACAGCATGTCACCTTCTGATTATCAAGCGACAGAGGGTGATGTTTAAACATGACACCACACACAGCATGTCACCTTCTGGTTATCAAGCGACAGAGGGAGATGTTTAAACATGACACCACACACAGCATGTCACCTTCTGATTATCAAGCGACAGAGGGGGATGTTTAAACATGACGGCACACACAGGATGTCACCTTCTGATTATCAAGCGATAGAGGGGGATGTTTACACATGACACCACACACAGCATGTCACCTTCTGATTATCAATCGATAGAGGGAGATCTTTACACGTGACACCACACACAGCATGTCACCTTCTGATTATCAAGCGACAGAGGTAGATGTTTACACATGACACTACACACAGCATGTCACCTTCTGATTATCAAGCGATAGAGGTAGATGTTTAAACATGACACCACACACAGCATGTCACCTTCTGATTATCAAGCGACAGAGGGAGATGTTTAAACATGACACCACACACAGCATGTCACCTTCTGATTATCAAGCGACAGAGGTAGATGTTTACACATGACACCACACACAGCATGTCACCTTCTGATTATCAGGCGACAGAGGTAGATGTTTACACATGACACCCCACACAACATGTCACCTTCTGATTATCAAGCGACAGAGGGAGATGTTTACACATGACACCACACACAGCATGTCACCTTCTGATTATCAAGCGATAGAGGGAGATGTTTACACATGACACCCCACACAGCATGTCACCTTCTGATTATCAAGCGACAGAGGTAGATGTTTAAACATGACACCATACACAGCATGTCACCTTCTGGTTATCAAGCGACAGAGGGAGATGTTTAAACATGACACCACACACAGCATGTCACCTTCTGATTATCAAGCGACAGAGGGGGATGTTTAAACATGACGGCACACACAGGATGTCACCTTCTGATTATCAAGCGATGGAGGGGGATGTTTAAACATGACACCCCACACAGCATGTCACCTTCTGATTATCAAGCGACAGAGGTAGATGTTTAAACATGACACCACCCACAGCATGTCACCTTCTGATTATCAAGCGACAGAGGGTGATGTTTAAACATGACACCACACACAGCATGTCACCTTCTGGTTATCAAGCGACAGAGGGAGATGTTTAAACATGACACCACACACAGCATGTCACCTTCTGATTATCAAGCGACAGAGGGGGATGTTTAAACATGACACCATACACAGCATGTCACCTTCTGATTATCAATCGATAGAGGGAGATGTTTACACGTGACACCACACACAGCATGTCACCTTCTGATTATCAAGCGACAGAGGTAGATGTTTACACATGACACTACACACAGCATGTCACCATCTGATTATCAAGCGATAGAGGCAAATGTTTACACATGACACCACACACAGCATGTCACCTTCTGATTATCAAGCGACAGAGGGAGATGTTTAAACATGACACCACACACAGCATGTCACCTTCTGATTATCAAGCGACAGAGGGAGATGTTTAAACATGACACCCCACACAGCATGTCACCTTCTGATTATCAAGCGACAGAGGTAGATGTTTACACATGACACCCCACACAGCATGTCACCTTCTGAATATCAGGCGACAGAGATAGATGTTTAAACATGACACCCCACACAACATGTCACCTTCTGATTATCAAGCGACAGAGGGAGATGTTTACACATGACACCACACACAGCATGTCACCTTCTGATTATCAAGCGACAGAGGTAGATGTTTACACATGACACCACACACAGCATGTCACCTTCTGATTATCAAGCGACAGAGGTAGATGTTTACACATGACACCCCACACAGCATGTCACCTTCTGATTATCAAGCGATAGAGGGAGATGTTTACACATGACATCGCACACAGCATGTCACCTTCTGATTATCAAGCGACAGAGGTAGATGTTTAAACATGACACCACACACAGCATGTCACCTTCTGATTATCAAGCGACAGAGGTAGATATTTACACATGACACCACACACAGCATGTCACCTTCTGATTATCAAGCGACAGAGGGTGATGTTTAAACATGACACCACACACAGCATGTCACCTTCTGATTATCAAGCGACAGAGGGGGATGTTTAAACATGACACCACCCACAGCATGTCACCTTCTGATTATCAAGCGACAGAGGTAGATGTTTACACATGACACCCCACACAGCATGTCACCTTCTGATTATCAAGCGACAGAGGTAGATGTTTACACATGACACCCCACGCAGCATGTCACCTTCTGATTAAACCAGTGACAGAGGTAGATGTTTACACATGACACCACACACAGCATGTCACCTTCTGATTATCAAGCGACAGAGGTAGATGTTTACACATGACACCCCACACAGCATGTCACCTTCTGATTATCAAGCGACAGAGGGAGATGTTTACACATGACACTACACACAGCATGTCACCTGATTATCAAGCGACAGAGGTAGATGTTTACACATGACACCCCACACAGCATGTCACCTTCTGATTATCAAGCGACAGAGGTAGATGTTTACACATGACACCACACACAGCATGTCACCTTCTGATTATCAAGCGACAGAGGGAGATGTTTACACATGACACCACACACAGCATGTCACCTTCTGATTATCAAGCAACAGAGGGAGATGTTTACACATAACGCCACACAGCATGTCACCTTCTGATTATCAAGCGATAGAGGGAGATGTTTACACATGACACCACACACAGCATGTCATCTTCTGATTATCAAGCGACAGAGGGAGATGTTTAAACATGACACCACCCACAGCATGTCACCTTCTGATTATCAAGCGACAGAGGTAGATATTTACACATGACACTACACACAGCGTGTCACCTTCTGATTATCAAGCGACAGAGGGTGATGTTTAAACATGACACCATACACAGCATGTCACCTTCTGGTTATCAAGCGACAGAGGGAGATGTTTACACATGACACCACACACAGCATGTCACCTTCTGATTATCAAGCGACAGAGGTAGATGTTTACACATGACACCCCACACAGCATGTCACCTTCTGATTATCAAGCGACAGAGGGAGATGTTTACACATGACACCCCACACAGCATGTCACCTGATTATCAAGCGACAGAGGTAGATGTTTACATGACACCCCACACAGCATGTCACCTTCTGATTATCAAGCGACAGAGGAGATGTTTACACATGACACCACACACAGCATGTCACCTTCTGATTATCAAGCGACAGAGGAGATGTTTACACATGACACCACACACAGCATGTCACCTTCTGATTATCAAGCAACAGAGGGAGATGTTTACACATAACGCCACACAGCATGTCACCTTCTGATTATCAAGCGATAGAGGGAGATGTTTACACATGACACCACACACAGCATGTCATCTTCTGATTATCAAGCGACAGAGGGAGATGTTTAAACATGACACCACCCACAGCATGTCACCTTCTGATTATCAAGCGACAGAGGTAGATATTTACACATGACACCACACACAGCATGTCACCTTCTGATTATCAAGCGACAGAGGGTGATGTTTAAACATGACACCATACACAGCATGTCACCTTCTGGTTATCAAGCGACAGAGGGAGATGTTTACACATGACACCACACACAGCATGTCACCTTCTGATTATCAAGCGACAGAGGTAGATGTTTAAACATGACGGCACACACAGGATGTCACCTTCTGATTATCAAGCGATAGAGGGGGATGTTTAAACATGACACCACACACAGCATGTCACCTTCTGATTATCAAGCAGCAGAGGGAGATGTTTAAACATGACACCACACACAGCATGTCACCTTCTGATTATCAATCGATAGAGGTAGATGTTTACACATGACACCCAACACAGCATGTCACCATCTGATTATCAAGCGATAGAGGGAGATGTTTACACATGACACCACACACAGCATGTCACCTTCTGATTATCAAGCGACAGAGGGAGATGTTTAAACATGACACCCCACACAGCATGTCACCTTCTGATTATCAAGCGACAGAGGGAGATGTTTAAACATGACACCACACACAGCATGTCACCTTCTGATTATCAAGCGACAGAGGGGGATGTTGAAACATGACACCACACACAGCATGTCACCTTCTGATTATCAAGCGACAGAGGGAGATGTTTAAACATGACACCACACACAGCATGTCACCGTTGACTTCCTTCACAGTGCAAACATTCCTTGTCAAGTCTCCGCATCTGAACTAAAATAAAGTCCACCCTTGTTTCAAATTACAAAAGAATTGACTTTTGCACATTTAATTAAGAACAGTAAACGTTTTAGAATGTCACCTTCTGATTATCAAGCGACAGAGGGAGATGTTTAAACATGACACCACACACAGCATGTCACCGTTGACTTCCTTCACAGTGCAAACATTCCTCGTCAAGTCTCCGCATCTGAACAAAGATAAAGTCCACCCTTGTTTCAAATTACAAAAGAATTGACTTTTGCACATTTAATTAAGAACAGTAAACGTTTTAGAATGTTTTTCATGTTTAGTGGTCCGGCTCGCCCACCATGATGGATGTTTCTGTTATGAATCCATTCCTTCCCCTGGTATTGCACCAACGTGTTGTCCTCAATCCTACACTAAAGAAAACCTCAGTTACAAGACATTGTATAACGCCATATGATATGTTGGTATAATGTCCAATCATGTCTTTCTTACAGAGGACGGTGGGCAAGCCTAGTGGTTAAAGCGTTCGCTCGTCACGCTGAAGACCCGGGTTCGATTCCCCACATGGGTACAATGTGTGAAGCCCATTTCTGGTGAACCCGTCGTGATATTGCTGGAATATTGCTAAAATCGGTGTAAAAATGTATTCACACATTCACTTCCTTACAGAGCATCATCACTGATGCCTCCTGGGCGCTGTACCAGGCAACCAGGAGACGGTCCTACATTGGCAGCGTCACGTTCCTTGTCCCAGGCACGTGGTCTAAACAGCCAGCTTGGGGCACTGCGACGGATGAGACATTTGAAGAAGCAGATATCCGAATCGACCAGCCATCTCCAGTATATGGGGACAGTCCCTACACGGAGCAGCCTGCTGGATGTGGCACGCCTGGGAAGTTCATCCACCTCACACCGGAATATGTCCTCAATACTCGGTACAGGCTGACAAACTGGGGCCAGGGAGGTAGGTAGCCTTTATCTCACCAACTTATCATGATGCAATAAATCATGAGGACTCACCTTTGTTAGGGGGACAGATGGTACTGCATGGATGTGGTCTGTTGCATGATAAAGTCCTGTTGAGTGGGCGGATGCTGTTGTGTGAACAGGTCCTCTTGTGTGGGCGGATGCTGCTGTGTGAGCAGGGCCTGTTGTGAGGGCGGATGCTGCTGTGTGAGCAGGTCCTGTTGTGGGGGCGGATGCTGCTGTGTGAGCAGGTCCTGTTGTGAGAGCGGATGCTGCTGTGTGAGCAGGTCCTGTTGTGGGGGCGGATGCTGCTGTGTGAACAGGTCCTGTTGTGTGAACGGATGTTGTTGTGTGAGCAGGTCCTCTTGTGTGGGCGGTTGCTGCTGTGTGAGCAGGTCCTGTTGTGTGGGCGGATGCTGCTGTGTGAGCAGGTCCTGTTGTGTGAGCAGATGCTGATGTGTGAGCAGGTCCTGTTGTGTTGGCGGATGCTAATGTGTGAGCACGTCCTGTTGTGTGGGCGGTTGCTGCTGTGTGAGCAGGTCCTGTTGTGTGGGCGGATGCTGCTGTGTGAGCAGGTCCTGTTGTGTTGGCGGATGCTAATGTGTGAGCACGTCCTGTTGTGTAGGCGGCTGGTGTTTTGTGAGAAGGTCCTGTTGAGTGGGCGGATGCTTCTGTGCGAGGACGTCCTCTTTTGTCGGCGGATGCTGGTGTGTGAACAGGTCCTGTTGTATGGGCGAATGCCGCTGTGAAAGCAAGTCCTTTTGTGTGGGCGGATGCTGGTGTGTGAGCAAGTCCTGTTGTGTGGGCGAATGCCGCTGAGTGAGCAAGTGCTGTTGTGTGGGCGGATGCTGCTGTGTGAGCATGCCGCTGTGTGAGCAAGTCTGTTGTGTGGGCGGATGCTGCTGTGTGAGCAGGTCCTGTTGTGTGGGCGGATGCTACTGTGACTGAGGCTGCTCATATCAAGTCAGGTTTCCCATTAAGTATTTATATCTGTGTGGTTCGAAGGCTCAGAAAACAAAGTTGTGAAGTTGATGGGATTTGTAAGTGAAATTGTAAATAACAAACAAAACACTTGGACTGCGACCTGCAGGTCGGACACTCGTACATGAGTTCGCGCATCTCCGTTACGGCGTGTTTGATGAGCATGGACTTGGCAACGCCGACTTCCCCAACTTCTACCTGGACGACGACACCTTGATGCCCACCGGCTGCACCGACTCCATCAAGGGTCAGCTACAAGGGGACTGCAGCATCGACCCGGCCACACAGCTGCCAGGGAAGGACTGCTACTTTCTGTCGGACGTGGACGGCAACACGGCTAGAGCGTCCATCATGAACGATGTCTTCGTCAAATCGGTAAAGTGTTTTCACCGATTCATTTTGCCTCTTGACGGGTATAAAAGAAAAAAAAAACATACTAGGGACTTCGTCTACCCTCATACAGATATATTTTGTAATATGAAACACTGACAGTTATAGTAATATTAGGACTAAAATACATTCATTGAAATAAGGTCAACAATACAAAATAATATATGATACTATTATATCCTGAGATGTTTCTGCTTCGACCGTAACGATCTGGGTTAGATTTGGTACCGAGCAGCCATTAAGAATGGAATGGGGTGTTCAAGGTCGTTGAATTGAATTATACATGTCTTTGTTGATCATGATGTCAATCAGATTATGTGGCCCAGATTACTGAAAAAGAACAGTAACTTGAATATTGCTCAGTAATACGTTCTGGTTTGTACAACGTTTTCCCCAATGAGTATAACTGATGACGTCATACAGTGGATACACACAGATTAATGTCTAAGTGAATGCTTTGACCACAAAAGATTGCTACATGCATATGTGGACATCCGGTTCTAACTCGGAATACAATGGTTTTGGTGTGTTTCATGATGTGACCACTGGGCACTTTCAGCATTGTTGTCCGCAGCAAGTGTCCAGGATACATCATACATTATATTGCAGGTGACTACATTTTGTGAGAGCAATACCAATGACCCGGATTACCTTCACAACGACCTGGCCCCGAACCTGCATAACAAGATGTGTGGGGGCAAGGGCACCTGGGACGTCATCTTGGAGAGCCCCGACTTCAGGGGAGGTACCAACCCACCCGTCAACAAGACCGAGGCTGAGATAAGACCGACGTTCAACGTTCTGTTCAACGCTAAAACCACAACACACACTGGAGGGGAAGTCTGTGGTAGACCCGTGGTCCTTGTCCTGGATGTTTCCGGTTCAATGCTATCGGTAAGAGTTGACTTATAACCCAATATAGGGTGGCTTAACAGTCTGAACATCACTACAAAGGATATTTAGTACACACGAAACAGTTTGACTGCCAATGTTATATTGGTCTTACATTCATTATGTTATGGAATGTGTAATGCGGTATCGAAATGGAATTGTGTTTTAGAACGACCGCTACTTCAAACAAGGTCAGACAGCAGACAAACTCATCAGAGATATCCTTCCCGTGGGAACCAAGGTCGGGGTGGTAACGTTTAGTTCCACAGCGTCTATAGCAATACCACTGACGCTGTTGTCGACGACCGCTGACAGAGACCGTGTTTCAAACCAGCTGCCGACACAGCTATAACTATGGAGGTTCCACCGGGATTGGTCGTGGACTCCTTCTTGCTAAACAGGTAGAAAGAACTTTATCTTTATTTGTAGTTTTACAGAATATGTGTACTAAACGCCAAAAGAAACGTAACCCTCCTACATTTACGAATTACTTAAAAACTATCAAAGATATGTTAGAAGGTATTAGTTTACAGGAAAGGTGAACAACACAGCTTTATGCAAATCACGAAATATATTTCTCAAATGCATTCATATTCAACTGAAATGCATCTTTTTCAAGAGACGATAAATTGTCCTATTTTCGTCCATGCCGAAATAAACCAATAACAATGATTTAGATGTCCAAAAGAAAGGTTGAAAAAAAAAAATTCAACTATTAAAACAAGAAACAACTGTTCAACAAGAAACTAAAAAAAATATATTCAACTATTAAAACAAGAAACAACTGTTGTAGAGTGTGTAAAATTGTCAAATAATCATTCCCATGATTTCAGTCTTTTAAAACATTTTTTGCTGATTTGCATGAGTGAAAACAAGCAAAACGTGTCTGTGATATTGTGAAAAAAAGTTTGGGAATATCTGAAATTATCTTTGTTAACATTTTTGCTTTTTCCATTTTCTGTTTACACATAGCAGTATCAATTGCCAAAACGCAGTAATATTGAAGCAGTATTAGCATCCATTTCACATGTAGAATGATTCTGTAGGGTATAAAGAGAGCCTAGAATGCATGATATGATACACAAGTACGAGAAATATGCCACGATTAACAGCTGAAGAGAGAGAAGGAGCCATTGTAATTGAGCAGATGGGTCGCCATACAATGCCGTTGCCAACGCCCTCGGATGCCATCGTATCACGGTTATAAGATTTATTCAGGGCTTCAGACAGCCTGGGGTCCCCGTAGACAGACCAAGAAGTGGACGTCCACGCATCACAACGCCAGCTGAAGACAGGTACCCCATTCATTAAGGAAGGAGGGTAAGGTTTCTTTTGGCGTTTAGTGTATGTGTCATGCATGCTGATGAAAGACGATTGTTACTCCGACTGCTGTACATTATGTGTATATTTACATACATGGACTATAAACTGCTGCTGACAGATGCTAGAAGGTGCAGGTGCGTTAAAGGAAGGCAGGATAGTGCTGATCACAGATGGAGAGGAGAACGTTCCACCTTACGTAGCTGATATGAAAGGACAGTTACTCCAGGCTGGAGTCCGGGTACACGCAGTGGCCTACAGTAGTGCAGCTGCCCGTGCCATAGGGAAACTAGCAAATGAAACAGGTCAGTCAACTCTATGCTTATTTATATGCTAAGTATACTCTATGCTCTGTTGCTCCTACGGAACATTTCATTAAGCCATGCAATGGGAATCAGGAGGGGGGAGATTATTTCATTGGCTTGCTGATGTTTGCCAGGTGGCCAATACGCCTACTATTCTGAGGGCGCCGCCTCCACCGTCCTCGACAGCGTCATCGAGACCTTGATGAAAGACATCTCCATCTGTAACAACAGGGTCCGTATAGAGGTACGTTCACGACATCGTTGCAAATCAACTTATTAACGTAGTCATATATTCCTCTTTAGGAAAGTCATACGTGATATATAGGATGGTTTGTGACAACCACTTGGGTCAGATGGTTTCATATAATGACTCCTGGAACATTGTAGAATAGTCCGGGCCTCTCAGATGTCGGATTGGTCGGATCAAGTGCCTGAAGGAACCCAGTGCTATTTCAACTCTTTCGTTGTATTGTGTGCTAAGCTTGGCAAAGATCCATTCTGACATGTGCACGTGCTCTTTGGCACGAGGAGTCGATGGGTGAGCCTAGAGGTTAAAGCGTTCGTTCATCACGCCGAAGACCCAGGCACGCATGGGTACAATGTGTGAAGTCCATTTCTGGCGTCCTCTCGCCGTGATATTGCTGGAATATTGCTAAAAGCGCCGTAAAACTAAACACTTTCACACGTTTCCTAAAAGTCAGAATACCCAGATTTTGGTTTTACCAACTATGAAAGTGGCCTCCTTTCGAGTGCCCCTCCATTGTGAAGATGTACATCCCTGACAACGGGAGTATATGGAATGAACTCGAATGTGTTTTGTGACTACTTTCAATGTAACAATGTTGGGTTTTGTTATTACTTGTCACAGAACGATGACATCTTCAACTTCCATGTTCAAGGCGAATTTGGAGGTTCAAAGCCATGTCCCTAGGCCCCTACACCAGCGTAATTCCTGGTCTGTTTTTTCAGATATTGAGAGCAGCTAAGTTTGTGACTGGCGGTACAACTGTGGAAGACGACGTAATTATGGACGCTACAGTAGGGAGTGATACAATGTTTGTCTTCACCCTCCCGCATGGAACATCAGTGACGGTACGTGGGTAGTAGTATATATAATGGGGGTACGAAATCAAGTCCAACAAAAGCCTCTGCAAAGCCTTATTTCACAAATAAGGCTTTTGTCAGACCCTTAGATCTCGCCCCATTACCCCTACTACTTTCCCGACCTATAAAAAAAAATTAAAAAAATTGAGACACCAGCGGGATACGAACCCCCCATGTATACCTCACAGCCCCACCACTCAACCGATTGAGCTACCAGGGACTTAGCTGAATAATCTCGGTTTAACGGGTCTATCCTGGGATTGCATCATCCAAAGCTGGGCTGCGTCTATAATAGCTCCACGTGCCGCTATGACACTATTGTGTGATTACCCTATGTCGTTGACCTCGATGAAACAGTTTAATGTGAATCCCCTTATGATCTCTTTGGAGTTCGTAATAAAGGCTTGCTGGGCTTTTCGTACCCCTTGTTCTATGTACTTTTTTTTCTCGTCATCGCTGATAGCAGACTTACGAGACTTTAATCGAATCTCTTGTTTCATTTTGTTATATTTTGTGAGTTCAGAGATGATTGAACGAAACTCCTCCTCTGAGATCTTACTGTCAGTGAGTGGCGTGGAAATACGCTCACTTACTGGTTCAGTTCTGCTTCAGCCAGAACCCTGATCTCGTCGTGTTTCAATGCCTTACGATGCAGTCTGCGGGATGCAAACTTAAGCACCAACCCTACCACCCCTGCCACCCCGGCTGTTATTTCGATACCTAGCACTACGGGTGTAGCCACGATGGTAGTTAACAACCCAACACCTGTCACCCCCAGCCCCATGCTGGTTGTCATAAGGGCAGTATCAGCCCCATCCACGATATTGAAAGCTCTATGGTACTTCTTACATAGTGCTTTCCGTGTGTCGCGGTCTTGCTCTAGTTGGCGTTTTACATCACATAACTGTCTCAAGCAGAACCCGTCTACAGTTTCCAGTGTCTTCGCTACTTCCTCTACGACTGGGTATAGCCCCATCCTGTGTGCCTATAATATATCTTATGAGATATTTTTTAATTGGTCTTCAGTTAACAGTCGATCAACGTACTTGAGGCTTATAAGGTGTAGATCCTCATGTAGGAGAATAGGTGAGAAGTTAATAGGGAACTCTGCATCCACACGAGCCCCATAGGAGGGGCTTATTGAGGGGGTTATAGAACCTGTTGAGGGGTCCGGTTGTATGATGATACGGTAAAGTTGAGAATTGTACCGGGGACTCCAGTGTACTGTCACCCTGGGTAAAAGTTGTTGTTCTTTACTAACAGAATGTACCAGGATATAGACTTCTATGATGAGTGTGGAGCCTGGTACCATAGCCGGAACCCCTATGTGCCCATAGCAGTCATACCTTAACTCACCCCCGTGGAATGCCTGTAACATATTGGGTAAAACCAGTCTTAGTATAATCCTTGTATTAGGCCCCGGAACGAAACACGCGGGTAAGATACCACTATTCCTAATTTCAGAGATACGACTTTGTTCCTTTAATGAGATATAAGGTGAGGTGAGGGTTAAGTTGACTAACCATTCAGGCTCTTTAAAATCTGATAATGACACCCGCCTATACACGTTGTCTTTGAAGTGCAGGATGTATAAGGTGTCTTCCTCACCAGGCTGATCAAATCCCTTTGTGTCCCCTAGGTCGTTAAGCGTAGCGTTGGGGCGATGACTGGTCATTGCTATAATACTATTACGATATAGTTTCCAACTGGTTTTCTGATAATAGTTCAGGGGTGCACTTCACCCCCATGAAGTGTATGTTGTCGGGTAGGAAGATCTTGGTTAGTGATATCGTGTCTTCCACGATCACTGTGACTCCCTGCAGACTGGTTTTGGAGTCGACACCCACCCGTACATAAACGGTGCAAACGTGATACTGGTGTCGTTTCGCCCACCCGAGTTTGATCCCCTTCACGATTTCGACATCATCCGACGATGGTTCCCCTAGGAAGACTTTGATGATCAGAGTGGCGTTATCCGGTAGGCTCGTCAGGATGTTGACCACGCCAGCAAATTCAGACACCAACTGCAATGTCACGTCTTGCACTCCCGGTTTACCCGATAGCATGTGGGCTGCTATACTGGCGACTGGACTGATGATTACGCTACGTCTCTGAGTCGGGACGTAAGCCACGAGCAGGGTTCCGTTGTTCACGACTTTGTTTAGGTAGTTGTCTTTGTTATCCGTGAACACGTAGGGGGAGCAGAGCCTAATATTGAGAAACCAGTCGCCTTTATCGGGTAACAACACCCACTTGTCATCTTCGGTGAAGACGAGCGTATATGGTTTGTTTCGGGCGACGGTAGTGCTCTCAACATCGTCTAAGTCGAACAGTTTGCCCCCGAACGATGGGTATATTATCCATTTATCATCACCGGTGTTTACTAGGGTGTACCGAGTGTTGACGACCGCTCTTGAGGTATCTACTTTATCACCAAGGCTCCACCGGAGGGGACTTCAACGCGTTTGTAAATGTTGTTTTTCAGTTGCAAGGCGTACAATTTACCATCTACTCCGGGGTCGTCGAATCCGAGCGTGTCCCCGAGGTCGGAGATCCCCACATTGATGCATTTTTTCAACTTCATTCCGGGGCCTTGTGCGCTGGTCATTTTATGTGCAGCGTTACGCTGAGGTATCCTATATTCACGGGATTATGATTTATATCTAACACCCATATTATCAGTTCAGGGATGTTGCCCTGAGTCAACCTCTTATACTGCCGCGATGAAAACGACTCGGTTCTGCCGTCGTTGTATTTCTCCGTTTTCACCAGTACTGCTCTCAGTATCGTGGAAGGGTGCCCACCTTCATTGTTGTCTGTTGTGCTCACCTGGCCGAGATGAATGCACAGCTCTCGGTACGGTACTAGGTCGGGTAACTTCGTGCCTGTGCCGGTAGTTGTTGATTTTATCTCGTCAGGCGGCATACCGAGTGTCCTCGCCAATGGTCGACCGAGCCTCAAGGAGTTTCTTCCATTGTTGATTAACACCACTGTGCCGTTTGAGTCGTTCATCTTGAGTTCGGCTCCCAGGGGTTTGAAGACCTCGTCGCTTAGCGAGCACACGCTGTAGTAGCCGTCAGTTATCTGGCTGCAAGCTCCACTGACGAACAGCTTATTGTTGTTGGCATTGATGTTAGTCCATCGCGGTAGGTAGGTGATATCGCAGAGTGCGACTTCGAGTTGACCCGACGTGTTATCGATCGCGTGCGTCAGCTGAATGGCCTCGCCGCTCGTTATTCCTGGAAGTGTTATGTACATGTTAGAGTATATATGCTCATTATATAATAGTTTTAAAATGTACTCCCAAGGAGGAGCATCCTCTCAAGGAGTGTTTTACTCCCCTGGAGTGTTTTACCCTAAACTGGACATAGATTTCCCCCACATGAAGATCGTAGTCGCTGATGGGCTGTATTTCGGCGCCCAGTTCATAGATGTGTTCCATCGGTATAGGTTTTCGGTGACAAACGCCAAGGTAGTTCATGCTTGGTTCAACAAACCGATGCAGTTCTGGCAGAATCAACTCAACTTCGCAGTGTGGTGCGCGGGGTGTGGTGTGACATTGACAGACACTCGGCGTGGACCTCTGAGTCAGTCTGTGTTCACGTTCCACGTGTACTACCAGGTCAGACGTATCCTCAATGAGATCAGCGACCCGCTCCCACAGGACAAGGCGTGGAACGCAGTAAACAACCAGTACGATAGATGGGCCTTGCAACGAATTCATACTAAACCCGAAGACGGATTGGCGTTTGCCTGGACGGAACCACGGGTTGGGTATCCCCATCGTTCACAACATGCCCCTCGTGGATGCCAGCGAGAAGATGAAAGAATGGGGTTACAAGTCGGATCATATCACAACAAACGAGTGGAATGACCGTTACATGGCTTTCAACAACAGCAAGGATTACCGAGTCTGGAGGTTTGAGCAGGGGGCAGCGGATGACTGGAAAAAGTTCATGTTGGACACGTCGAGAGGGTTTACTCGTGCCGGGGTAATCAGGTTGAACGACTCGATTCGAACGTACGTGTGGGCGCTGTTGGGTGCGCAGATGCAAACGCGTTCCAACATCCTCGGTAAGGGGACTGCTTACGACGCTCAGAAACAGTTCATTGTTAACGTTGAGGATGCTATCAATTCTCCAGTTGATATACCGAGTGCTATCAAACGCTACCAAGACGTGTTGGAATACGCCAGGTCGAAAGTCGACTACGTGTTCGACGTGGGGCTGTACATGGCTCCGAGCGATATGCAACTGAGAGTAAAAAAAGTGGTGGGCTGCAACAACGAAATAGTTATAGCCACGGCGGCTAAAAGTTGGGCGTCAACCCGACGTCAACGTCCCCCACGTCCCACCACCCACGACCGGTGAAACGGGTATAGTGTCGCCACCCCCGGAGCCTAGGGTTCAACCAACACCCCCACAGCCTGCACAGCAGGCATCCAATCAGCAGCACATCGATCGTAAAACAGCCCTGGTGGTTGGTGGGGTCGCGGTTGGTTTGGGACTTATTTGGTTAAAAATTCCTTAGCCGCTACGTACACCAAACCCGCCACGGCGACGATGGCTGCCCACAGGTTTTGACTGAGCCACGTAGCAGTTTTAGCCAGAGCGCTCAGCAGCCACGAGACGATGCTACCCAGCATGCTTGTCAGGGCTTCGGCTGCCTTACCAGCCAGTTTAGCCAGGGCCTCCCCGAGTTTTTTATCCAGTCTTTGACGCCACCTGTGGGTGTTGGTGTGCCACTGCCGCTGGCAGGCGTGGGTGTACCCCCTGTCAATGACACCACCAGGGTTGATATGATGAAGCCCAATGCAGTCAGAATGCTGGCGATGGTGATCCCTTGCTCCCGGCACAGGATCCGAATCCTGTCAGCTAGCGTGGTGTCCTGGTCTAGGACTCGATCAACGGTTTCCCGCGCAAGGCTGATCTGGGATCGAAGCTGGTCTCGGAAGGAGGATGCTCCAGCCGGGTCTTCCTTTCCTCTTCCAAA